AGAAGAATTTCCCATCAAATCTAAGTCAAGTCGGTGGCATTTCCTCTACTGTCACGTGCACAGTTTATTCTCTCTTCCTTCTAGCCCATCACACCAGCATGGACTATTCCACACCTCTGCCAAACAAGCAGGCCTCTTTATACCTATATCCACAAGGTCTTCATTACTGGGCTGAGAAAAACACTGATAGTAAAGTAGTTTTCCGCCCATTACCTGTCTCTGATAATATGCTTGTCACCATAATTAGTTTCACCATCTCTGGCTTGCTTTTCTGTCATTTCTTTCCCTTGAGTTCTATTAATACCAGAAATTGGCTGCTAAACTATTACTCTAGTGAGTCTGTGTAATGGGGCTGACAGCAGAAGCATTCTGCCTTTTTTGACAACTGGGTATGATTTGTAAAGGTGTGCAGAAGAATTGCTAATATTTCTCAGCTCCATTACATTAACCTGGAAGGCATTCTACCCAAGAAATGAATCCAATATTAAATTGCCTGTTTTATGAGTTTTCCTTTAATAATTTTTCTAATCTTTAGAATGTTTTCATAGCTTCAGTATTTTCTGATCTCTATTACCTGAGATTAATATGGCAACTTTATTTTATGCCCACCACTTTATTAGATTTTCTTTATTTTGGAGGGAAGAGAAAGAGAAGGAAAATATATTTGTGAGTTTCTCTTCTTTCTCCTGTGTTCTTCTCCCAGTTTCTGGCTGATGCCAGGATGAGTAAGCAAGGTTTCACGAAAAGATCATAAAACTTTATTTATGCCTAGGCATGGTGGCTCACGATTGTAATCCTAGCACTTTGGGAGGCCAAGACAGGTGGACGGCATGAGCTCAGGAGTTTGAGACCAGCCCGAGCAAGAGCAAGACTCTGTCTCTACTAAAAATAGAAAAACTAGCTGGGTATGGTGGCAGGCGCACCTGTGGTCACAGCTACTCAGGCAACTGAGGCAAGAGGATTGCTTGAGCCCAACAGTTTGAGGTTGCTGTGAGCTATAATGCCGTGGCACTCTACCCACGGTGACAGAGACTCTGTCTCCAAAAAAAAAATTATAATGTGTTGAAAAGTATGATCTCACCATAAAGGAAATTCAAAGATGATTATCATTAAAAAACAAAACAAAACACAAAACCCTTTATTTACATCAAAGGTCACAAAGCCCCAAATCAAAAAACAGACAAAAATCACTCACATGTTGAGGAGTTCAAAGGTGATCCTGAAAGTCTATGGAGAATAATAAGTAGGGAACCAATAAGGGCCAGTTTACACTCTAGAACAAGACCTTGATAGCCACAGTATGGAGGATGTATGTTTGTTTGAGTGGGCTCACCCTAGGAGGCCACTGCAGGAATCTGAGCATAGAGGCCTAAAGTGTGGCAGTACAAGGAGGGATGGAAATGAGAGGCAGACTCAAGAACTATTCAGAAGGCAAAACCAGGAGCACTTTGTAATTAACACGAGTGATGCCAGAGAAACAGCGATGATAATAACTACTACTTAATGATCACCAAGTTTCAGAAGAGGTGACAGCCTTTCCTGCATAATCACATTTAACCCTTGCAATAGCCTCCAGGAGTAGTGATATTATCATGTCTAACAGATGAGGAAACCCAGGCACTGCCAGGTTAAATAAATAGCCCGAGGTCACACAGCAATTGTGATAGGCTCTAGTAGACTCCAAAGCTAGCCACCATGTGAAGACTTAGGGATGATCTCTGGGTTTCTCTCAGGAAGGCTGAGTGTTTCATTGGTGTCACTTGTGAGATACAAAATATAGAAGGAGAGACAGGTTTAGAAAGAATATCAAATATTCAGTTTGGTATAACTCCATAGTCAAGAGCAATGGCTAAAGTCAGATAGGGCAAGCAAATTACACATTTTGCTACAAGACTGCCCCCATAATTAAATGTTGTGCAATAAAGTGGTAGAAATCAAGCAGCAGAAAAGGCTGAGTAGGAAGCCTGATACTATATTCATGTTGAAAGTACATTGTTGACCTTAATTTTTGAAGATCACTATAATTATCTTCTTGATGATACAAAGTAAGATCTCAGCAATTTATTAACCATCCTCATAGAATCTGGCAGGTACTTTGGCTTGTACTGTGCCTACCCCTTACAGCTTGCTGCTTTTGGATTTATCCAGCCTCTCCTTCTCTGACGCTTGTAACACCACACAGGTTTATGGAAGAAAATGATATTGGCAAAGACCTAAAAAGTTTTTAAAGCACTGCCTGGTTAAAGGTTCATGAAAATGTTAGGTAGCAACTTGATACTTGGAATATTGTTACTTTTATGATACTAGGCAACTCACCTCTCTCAGCCTCATTTCCTTCATCTGTAAACTGAGGACACTGATCTCTCACAGAGGTTTGTTGTTAAGTATTATAATAATGTATATGTATCTGCAGAGCAGTAGGCACACTGCAGAAGCTCAATATATTCTTTTTTTTTTTTTGAGACAGAGTCTCTTTCTCTCTGTCACCCTGGGTAGAGGGCGCTGGCATCATATCTTACAGCAATCTTAAACTCTTGGGCTTAAGCTATACTCTTGCCTCCCAAGAGCTGGGACTACATATGCCCACCACCACACCCAGCTAGTTTTTCTATTTTTAGTAAAGACAGGGTCTTGCTCTTGCTTAGGCTGATCTCAATCTCCTGAGCTCAAGTGATCCAGCTGTCTCAGCCTCTCAGAGTGCTAGGATTACAGGAGTGAGCCACTGTGCCCAGCTGCTCAATAGATTCTAAGGTTTTTCCTTCCACCCGTTAAGGACAAGAGGCATGTCTCTTAGTTTATATGCTACTGCCAGTTACAGTGCTGTGTGCATGGTAAATATTTAATGAATGCAGTGTTTGCTATCATTTAAAATACACCTGTGCTATGCAGAATTTGGTGTTGAAATCGGAGCTTGTACCATTTTGATGCACGTTAAACATTTTTAATATGATAGTTAATCTTTTGAAAATACTATTAAGTTTGTATGTCCACAAATTCCACCCAAATAAGTAAACACCAAGAAAAGGAATCTTATCACTGACAAGTAGAGCAGCTTAGTTTAGACAAATCAAACATAAGCTTTACCATAACACCCTCCATCTGAACAGTGTGAGGAAGGAAAACACACTCTGCCTCCTGGGAAATTTAATTGTCCTGATCTTGGCAGCAAACTGTTGTATATTTTATTTACAAAACTCTGCATTCCCAAGGGGAGATGGTCTGCGAAGATTACAGAAAAAAAATCTGCAACATGTGACTGCTTCCTCCCTCCTTACATTGCTCTTGTCAAGGTCCTCCCTTGGAGTTGGCCCTTCTCCAGCACTCGCAGTGGGGGCCCGTTCAATCCGAGGAACCATTCTGGGGCCACTGCGGGACTTCCCGTCCATAAGAAGTTTCCTCTGCATCTTTTAATGCCATGTTCCCCCAGCCTCCCAGTATCCTTTCAATGTGAAGCCTGAACTTGCACCTGCCAGAATAAGAAGAGCCAGCCCCACCACCTGGGTTAGGCCCTGGCCCCACTCTGCTTACTTCTGGCTCATACAAAAGTAATGTATGTGTGAGTTTCTCTGGGGGAGACAGATTTCCCCCATCCAGGTTTTCCCTTCCCTTTCTGTCTCCATTCCCTGTGTAGCTCCCTGTTTCTTAATTTTTCTCTTCCTCTCTGACTCGATCTCTATATGAGTGTGCACGCCAATACACATCCCTCAACAACTCAGTAACTGGAAACTAAAATAGCAAGTGCCATTTATGATACCTTTTTATGAGTTTAGATTCTCCTTCACTTTTGATTTTTACTCACCTAGTACCATCTCTGAACCAACAGATTCTTCAGCCAGGTTCCCGGGTGGAGTGGGTAAAACGTCATCATCAAAGCTAATGAGGTCGATATCTGGGGGTTTGCTTTGCAGAACTAGAACTGGGGGGCTGGCAGGGGGCCCTTCTCCCAGTGACCTGAATGCTTTGGCTTGTGATGCCACTGAAAGTCGGGGAGGAACAGTGACAGGTTTCAGTGGAAGGTAGGTGGGATTTTCTGAGGAAACTGATTTCTTGGGCAGCAAAGGCCGTGGAGCAGGAGTTGGGACTTTCTTCCCACCATCAAGGCTCTCTCCCAGGGTACCTCCTCCGGTTATCTCATGATTAACACTTCGTAGAAGGCCAGGATTTGGTTTCTTTGGCAATTCAGGTTTGGTTACTGGGATGTTCCCCACTTCCTGCAGTGGAGGGTATGGACCTCCTTCCATGGAGGTCACCCTGAGTCTGCTCTCAGGGCAAGAGTCCCATTCTCCAGAAGCTCTGTTAGCAGTTGGTTTGGGAGCCACAGAGGGTTTCCCTGAGGAAACAGCAGGCCTTGAGGGTAGCGTACGCGGAATAATTTCTGGTTTCTTGGGCAGTCCTGAGATGTCTATTTTTGTCTGACCCTCAAATGCTTTGATTCTTGAAACAATACTATTTTGGCTTTGCTCTGTGTTCATAATGTTCATCACTGCCTGACTGTGTAAGTGGATGGTGTTATCTAACAGCGACGGGGGCTGGCCTGGGGATGGCTCCTCTTCTGTGGCTGCTGAGCCAATTTTCTGGTGACTTTGCTCTTCAATGTGAGTATCTCTGGCTATTGGTCTGAGGTTGCTTTTTGATCTTGGTTTTGGCACTGGACATCTTGTAGCACGGGGGGTTTCTGGACAATTCTGTTCTTCTGAAATATCAAAAACTATTAAAGGCGCCACATTAGTTGGAAGATTGACAGATGAGACTGTTGGGGAAGGCTGGAGAGGCTTGAGAGGTGCCTGTAGTGCTGACAAGACCAAAACGAAATGCAATGTTACAATTAAAAAATATACAGAGAGAGAAGATACACAGATTTAAAAATAATAGGTATGGAAAATCAAGAGATTTTGGTTTCCTTAATTCCAAAATCAATGGGGAAATGTTTATACTCAGCTTTTAGCTGGAGTGTTTTCCAAGTTATATTGATTCATATAACAAACATTCATTGTATAATATTTTAAAATACCATTAAATTCTTGATTCTCATTAAACTTATCACATGAACTATTTCTCTCTGGTTGTCAAAATTCCAACATCTCTAATCCTTTACTTTTTGAAAGCAACTTATTCTTACCTCTATTACCCTAATATAATACTTTTTAAAAACCTAATAGAACAACCACCCTTAGTACACTATCCTAGGTTTAATTTGCTAAGTATAGCATCCTTCTCAATGGAAACAAAGGGTATCATCGGTAACATCCACCCTGAATTAAACAGATGATGCTTTTGTGATATAAACAGGATGAACCCAAGATTCAGGGGCTGCAGTTCATAAGAATGATCCATGATAACAATCACTGTATACCCAAAGTGGTCACACTGACTGGGAAGCAGAGCTCAGTGAATTAAACACAAATTGCAAATTATTTAGGGTGTAAGCCTACTGGTTACTTCCCTAGAACTAGGTCAGAATTAGGGAAAACAAATTACTTGCATTACTTTGAGGCAGTTCGTTGTCTATTCCTTCTGAAAAGTCAGTCTGAGTTGCAGAAGTAATAGTGTGCCTTGGAGGGGCAGCAGCATTATTATTATTTGTAGTATTAACTTGAACTTGGTTAATTTCTTTTATGACTTGTTCATAAGATGGTGGTAGCTATAAAAGAAAGAAAGATTTTAGACTTCTATGGGCAACAGTCAAGGCATTAATAGTCTTGCTGTTCTTATCTTTGAATTTCACTTTAAAAATAAAACAGGCAAAGAGATAATGTAATGTTTATTCACCTCAGCAGGAACCAACTCATTTGGTCTCCAAGGGCCTCTGGCAGAAGTTGGGGAAAACCCTAATCCTGGGGGTGGGGCTCCTGGAAACCACGAGGCTGGCCTCAATGGCTCAGCTGCCACAATGGTGATCTCTGGACGCCTAGAAGACAGAAGCCTCAGTAAGGTTTTGCAGGCTGGTAACAAGCTATTGTCTATCTATTCTATATTTGAAAATTCATGAAACCCCCCCAAAATTATGAGAACTATAACATTCACAGAAATGACCTGTGACAGGCTTCAAAGGAGCTAATGATAGTCATCCTCTATGATTTTGGGCCTCCAAAGTTAGAGATGTATCCTAAGTACACTTGGTTCAGCCCTGGATGATAAGGATAAGTAAGGCCCATACCGTGTGTTAAACGCAGGGCTCTGGTGCTATCTACCCCATAGGACAAGCAGATCATGTATGGAAGAAAAAGGTACTGGTTAAGTGGAATTGTTTGGTTTTCTGTTATTATACAGTATATACTCTAAAGAGAAAATTATCATAAAAAAGAAATATCCTGTTTTTCCTCACCCCATATTTCATCCTAATCCAAAGTTATCTTTAAGTGTTTTGAGTTTACGTGTTCCCTTCTAGGTCCTGATATGTGTCTCTGTGCTCCTGGTCAGTTTTGGATGTGATTTGACGATTGCTCTTTAATACTGAGGAGCTACAGTTATTTAGGTGTGGCTTCTTTCATCCTTTTCTTTAAACTGGTCCGACATTCTCATGTTTGTTTGTTTTTTTAATTTAATGTGATTTCCCAATTAACACCAATTGTCTGACCCTGAACAAATAAATAAACCAACATCTCTAAGTCTCAGTTTTCTCACCTAACAAGTAAGGATGATGATACCTGCTCTGCTTTTCTCTAGCACTCTATGGAAAATAAAAATTTAAACACACCAGCTCAGGCTCAGCTCCTGTGGCTCAAGCAGCTAAGGCGCCAGCCACATACATCTAAGGTGGCGGGTTTGAATCCAGCCCAGGCCCGCCAAACAACAATGATGGCTGCAACCAAAAAATGGCCGGGCATTGTGGCGGGCGCCTGTGGTCCCAGCTACTTGGG